AAACTAGTAATTAAATCTAAAATATTTCAACTATACATGACAATACTATATAAAAACAGGCTATAGATTGCCAACAACTGAAGGTAGATCACCATACTAGGGACCATGGGGACTTAAGGTACATTTGCTTCTTGCATGGGCCCTAGCTGGATTTACATCATCCCTTCAACCGTTAGCAATTTAGACACATCTAGCTATCTAGGCATACATTTTTAAAAAAAAATAGCGAGAGTTTGAATTTTTTTTGAATGTTTGCGGACCGAGGAGGACTGAAAAAGAGAGCGAATCCTGCCCAATCAATGTTTGTAAAGCTTGTCAACTCTTCACCTAAAACAATCGGGATCGTTTGGTACAAGTCATAATGGGTAACTGGAGAGATTTTGTCACTCTGGGCCTTTTTACATAGATCTAAATATGAAACAGTTGAGGCTGTGTCACTATTTTATTTCAAGTTCAAGTGGGCACATCAATGGAAGGGAATATAGGCTATTTGATCGTTATTGAACGATATTAGATGATCCATATGCCTGAATGTCTAGTTAATCTTCTTGGCCAGAATACCTTGTTTTGATTTTGCCTACCCGAGTAGAAATTCTGATGTATATCCATCAAGAAGCAGACCCAGAAGGTGAGGAGCACAATTGGTTCACACTGGGGTGCCTACTTTCTCTCTACATGATTTGCCCCAACCTTAACGCAGATGTCAGTCAGCATTTCACACATTTCTCTCAGTAAACAGCGTGGGAAAGTTGCCCACATTTTTGACAAATTACCCTGAACCTCTGAAGAGTGAGTGAGTGTAGTTTTACGCCGTACTCAGCAATATTCCAGCTATATGGCGGCTGTCTGTAAGTAATCGAGTTTGGACCAGATAGTCCAGTGATCAACAACATGAGCATCGATCTACGCAATTGCGAACCGATGACATGTGTCAACCAGGTCAGCGAGCCTGACCACCCGATACCGTTAGTCGCCTCTTACGACAGGCATGAGGTTACTGAAGGATCTTCACGGTCACCTCTGAAGATAGATATGTAGGTATATCTTTATTCACCACACCTATTTAGAAATGATCAAGGAATGAAGTTTTTTCCTTCAGTTTGTCATGTGGAAGAGTGGCGAACAATGTTGAAAATATGCATGGATACATGAAAATACACAGGAATATATCTCTCTTTGTAGTTATCGAGGATTAGACATTCTTATAGGTTTTAGAGTCTTTCCTCAATTAACATACTGACCTTATGTTGCATTATGTGATATGTCAGTATACCAAGCTCTTTGATCAAAGATTTTACGTGTACGTAAGTCCCAAAACATTATTTAAGTCTACCAGGTTTTCAATGGTAGTATTTTTGTCATTATAATGTATGGCTAAATCTCAGCATAATCGCTAATGACTGAAGGGATGGTGTAAATCCAGCTAGGGTCCATGCAGGTAGCAAAAGTAATGTAAGTCCCCATGGACCCTAGTATGGTGATCTACTAAATTAACTTTGTTCTCGTCACGATATGGCTGGAAATATTGCCGATGTGACGCTAAATATTAACTCACTCACTCCGAACAGTTTGAATAATATGTACACGTTTGTGCAATAAATTATATTCCCTGCTTAACAGAACACAGAAAAGTAGTCCAATACACAGAAAAGTAGTCCAACATACAGAAAAGTAGTCCAACATACACAAAGATAAAAAGTAGTCCAACGCACAGAAAAGTAGTCCAACACACAGAAAGTATTCAAATTGTTACTATATATTTGCCACGACTGCCAAACAATGTACACGTACAATTACCACACAATGTACACGACTACCAGACAATGTACACGACTACCAGACAATGTACACGACTACCAGACAATGTATACGACTACCAGACAATGTACACGACTACCAGACAATGTATACGACTACCAGACAATGCACACGATCTCTCTACCACAACACGATGTACTGTATACGATCTGTCTACCACCACACAGTCTTCTGTATGCGACCTTTTTACAAAAGCGGTGTGTACTGTATACGATCTGCCTACCACACAAAAACAAAAGAAGAACAATTGGAAGAGATTGAAGAAGAACAAAAAGAAACAAAAGAAGGTATACAAAATATTGGACATATGCTGGAAACTATATATAAACTGACAGACATATATACTGAGTCAAAAAAGAAACTTCACAAAATGTAATTTGAAAAATAATGAATAATTTTTCTCTGATGATACATCTATGTATCCGAAATGGGATCCCTATATTTCGACTCTAGAAAAGCGTTATCAAAACCCACTCCAAACTCCATCCATTCGCCATTCAAATGACGTTAGTGCCAAATCAGGTTTTGAACGTGCAGTCGATCACGTGATCTTCGCATCGAAGTTTTCTTCATATGCACGTGTTTGCATTGGCCTCAAGAATTGAAAAAAATACTTTTAAACCACAGTTCTAACGGTACTTGCAATGCCACGATTGTCAAATGTGCAACGTGAGCGTGCCGTACTTTGCATGTTGCAAGCGGGAAGATCAGTTATTGACTGCAGCCGTCGTACTGTGGATGAGGTCGTCTACAACAAACTGGCACCACTTCTGATCGCCCAAGGTCGGGTCGTCCACGTGCGACATCACGAGCAGAAGACCGTCAAATCGTCCTACGTCACCTACATGACAGATTTCTGCCGGCTACACGATCCAGGACTGAGATGTTTAGAGGTCGACTGTCCTCACAGACCATTCGAAATCGGTTGCGGGCTGCCAATCTCCATTCTCGACGTCCATATCGTGGGCCAATATTGACGCCGTTTCATCAACGTCAACGTCTGCTGTGGGCCCAACGTCACCTCCGATGGACCCAGAGAGACTGGAATCGAGTCGTCTTTAGCGATGAATCCAGGTTAACCCTCAGATTCGCGCGTGGACGGCAGGCATAGAGTCTGGAGACGACGTCGTGAACGGTATGCCCAATGTTGTGTGTACAGGAAGTCGACAGATTCTGGGGCGGAAGTTTCTTTCAGGCTTTGTGGGGAACAATTGTTCCCGACTTCTGGTCATCCTTGGAAACCTCACAGCTGCTGCTTACCGCGACCAGGTGCTCACCCCTGAACTCTCGTTCCTTTCATGGCTGCTCATGGCCCAGGTCTACAGTTACAGCATGATAATGCTCGGCCGCGATACAGCGATATTGACACGAAATTTCCTTCAAAGCTGGAATCAACGTCATGGACTGGCCATCGAGGTCCCCTGACCTTAATCCAATAGAGCACGTTTGGGATGCACATGGGAGAAGGCCTTGTGGTCTTAGGAACCAACCTCAGAATTTACAGGAACTTGGCGATGCCTTGCAAGAGCCATGGCGCAGAATCCCCAACCACGCTTTCACAAGCATCAGGCAGTCGATGAGGAGACGGTGTTTGGCAGTGGTGAATGCGTGGGCGGCCATACACGATATTGAACTGAGAAATTGCGCATTTTTATTCTTGTGACTTGACATTCTGTATACCCATGTTTTGGAACGGCGTGTAGCCTAATGGAACTGATTATGGCACTGTCAGTGTATCGAGTACATCACACAGATCTCAGCAATGAAATAATAACAATTTAACCATCTTACCATCTCTTGTTCTTTTATAGTGCCGTGAAGAAAGAATGTGAAGTTTCTTTTGACTCAGTATATATTACGTCATCAAAGGAATTCTGTGTGTTTTCCAATGCAAATGCGTCCAAAATAGGTGCAGGACCTATTTTCATCGCAGTAACGCATCGCAACGCATTCACAATTCGGATGTAATGTGAATGACATATGATAAGATAACTTAATGCTTTTTGGACGCAACGCAAGAAAAATCGGATGTAGTGTGAATCCCCCTTATCAAGTGTGTACGATATTACTATCCACGCGTACGGTTTGGGAAGACTGGGACCATCTAGTTCTGAAATCAACATATTTGACAGATTTAAGGTTTCTGATTTATAATCAATCAATCTTTATTCAATACTTAGAAAGGCCACATGCCTGTAGTACATTTACTGCAGTAGAGTTTACATGAGTAGATAGAAGTCATTTACAAATTCTTTTTCCATAACTATCGTTTTTCTTAATCTCATATCGAAATAGATGTACATTGCCAGATTCTGTAATAATAATGTGGCAGTGTCTGTTGACAGTGAAATTAGTTTTCTTACACTTGGATGCTTATAATAGTATGGGTTTAGGTATTTCGCTCGTAGATTCGTATAAATAGGACAGATTAGAAGGAAATGTAATTCATCCTCATCAGTATTCATCTTACATAACTGACACATTCTTTTTCTCTTTGTATACCTGCATTCCTGAATTATAATCAGAAAGTACAATTAAAAGGAGCCCAATGACTTTATATTTTTTCAGCGACTAAATGGGATTAAATCAATTCTCCGTGTGCTTTAAGTTTTCTTGTTTTAATGAAATAAAGCAATAAAAAAAACAGAGGCAGAAACACTGCAACTAAGGTAAAACACTACTATAATACCCATATTGTATAAAACATCATCGAATAACATCCACATGGGTACAATGTGTGAAGCCCATTTTAGGTGTCCCCCGTCGTGATATTGCTGAAATATTGCTAAAAGCACTCACTCATCGAATAACCATTTAGTGTTAGTCGCCATCAAACATGATTGGCAGACTAGGTCACAAACGTAATTGTGGTAATTGTTGGAAAATTGTGCAGAACTAGTTTATTGTCAATAGAACAGATGAGAAATCGTAATTTTAACATCACGCAAACGATATATGTTACAATAATGAATGTTTGCCCCAACAATGCTGGCAGGGTCTGCCATTCATGTCTGAATTATTCTCTATTGTGCGCTTTGGCAGTGGCTGTATGTATCTCGGCTTTGCGGAAAGCGTGTCATTCGCTCTATCACTGGATCTGATATGACAAGGCCAGTTCACCATACAACGTAGACCTGATTAAAATACGTACACTTGGCTGGCAACGATCACACTGCCCAGCAATGGCCTCGGATGGTGGGTGGCTCCGTGTTGTGACCGTCTCCTGGCTCCTTGTGCTGTCTCACGGGCAGAGGAAGCTGTATGTGAGGGACGGGCTCTGGGTCTGGGTGGGGAGAAGGTGCTATCTGTCGGGGATCAACTCAGAGAGAGAGAGAGAGAGAGAGATATATATATATATATATATATATATATATATATATATATATATATAGATATATATATATATATATATATATATATATATATATATATATAGAGAGAGAGAGAGAGAGAGAGAGAGAGAGAGAGAGAGAGAGAGATATATATATATAGAGATAGAGAGAGAGAGAGAGAGAGAGAGAGAGAGAGAGAGAGAGAGAGAGAGAGAGAGAGAGAGAGAGAGAGAGAGAGAGAGAGAGAGAGAGAGAGAGAGAGAGAGAGAGAGAGAGAGAGAGAGAGAGAGAGAGAGAGAGAGAGAGAGAGAGAGAGAGAGAGAGAGAGAGAGAGAGAGAGACTGGTTGAAGTATTGATAGATCATATATTCACTTTCTATGATCAGTCAGCTGTGCCAGTGCTTTATTCTGGGTGTGTAAAATATATCTTATTGCTATAATTACTGTTTATTGAATATATTAAATTGTGCATTCACGTTTTATGGTGATCATTTAATATAAGAATCGGTAGAGTGAAAAATGGAATTTACAAAGTTTATGCAAAACATTTGTGATGAAAACAAAATCATAAAAAAACCCCAAAACCAACAATCCCCGGGGATTCATTGTAGGATACAGGTCCCCAGGAGCTATGCGGGTCGTACACCTTGATCGTGTCGTACCATCGTATCCCGACTGCGTCTATGCTCATGATGTCAATCACTGGTACGGAGTCAATTATTTACAGACCGTTGTCATATGAGCTGTTGCTAAAGGCAGAGCTAGACAATAGGCTGTGAAACACGACTACTCTATTAATTTATATTTTAATTTAAATTTGTGATTTCAGGCCCTCACATTCATAAAATAAGAAATAAAAGACGCCTAAATAATCTTCTTGTAGACATCACGGCTGTATCAAACACGTAAAAGCTCAACTGTAGTGCAACGTGTTTCGGAAACGCATTGTTCTCTGTGGACCAGCTTGTCAAAGTACGAGATGGTTGACAAAAGTCCAGTCAATTAACCTCATTCAAAACGGAATTTTAACAGGAAGCAGAACACGTGACCCATGATCGTATTTCTCGCAGCGGATGTTCAGTACTTCCCTTATATTATGCTTCCTTTGTGTAACCTGTGAAGATCCGGGTTTGAATTGATCTTCAGTAAACCATGCTTGTCGTAAGAGGCGACTAACGGGATCGGGTGGTGAGTCGCGCTGATTTGCTTGACACATGTCATCGTATCCCAGTTGTGTAGATCGATGCTCATGCTGTTGATGACTGAATTGTCTGGTCTAGACTCGATAATTTTATACCATAGTTAGAATATTGCTGAGTGCGTTGTAAAACAAGACTCCAGTCACTTTCTAGCGTTTACTGTTCCAAAGTATACTACTCACACTTTGCTAAGGATCACAAAAATTCGCAACTTTTCTTAAACGTAGATTTATTAATTTGAAATTGTATCCATTTTAAACTGGATAAATAATGATATGGTAACACATCTTCAGGAAAACCGTCACTTTAAGCTATTAATCGTATCTGCTTGATACATAAGTAACCATAAAATGGTTTTCATGGCACCAGTCAACCATTTTGCAAATCATGGCACGGGTCATTGACAAGCACACACAACGCCTGTCAATAGCAGGTATGGGATCCACCAGATCAAATGACACACAGAAAACTTGGAACCATGCTTACAATAGGATTAGATATTTCAACCAAATTTGACCCCACATCATAGTTTTCTATCGAATCAATGATTTAATCCTTAGCAAAGTGTGAATAGTATAGTTCATTACATTGAGTGTCTGAATGGAGGCAGTGGAGTAAAGCACAGTGGTTAGTGTGTTGTCTCGCCACGCTCAGTCTCGGTTTCGAACCCCACATGGTTACCATGTGTCAAGGCCATTTCTGTTTTTTGCCACCTTAAAAAGGTATACTACCACATTCTCTCACTCACGTACTCACTCTACCATCGTTATGTTTCTTAAGCGGTGGGGATTGGTGGGGTAGCCTAGTGGTTAAAGCGTTTGCACGTCACGCCGAAAAAACTGGGGTGATTTCCAACATGGGTACATTGTGTGAAGCCCATTTCTGGTGTCCCCCGCCGTGATCTAATGATGGAATATAGCTAAAAAGCGGCGTGTAAAACCCAACTCACTCACTCCTTTAGCTGTGGTGGGTTAGAGTAGTGGTTAAAGAGTTTGCACTTCGCACATGGAGCCCATGACCGGGTTCGATTCTCCACATGAGTACAATATGTGGGGCCCGTTTCTCCTGCCACCCCAGCACACGCATACATCGATTGCCCCTTTACTTAATCTACAGGCACAATGCATCACAACTGAAACATCGCTCACAACGTAACAGTTTACCGTGCACTCATAACATTGCTCAAATGATGTTAAACACAACTCACGGACATATCGCGTATTGTGGGGAACGCAAAAAAGATATATTACGACCGCTTCAGCATCTCCATTTCTCCTCCCGTGAGTATAAGTGCACTCATAACATTGCTCAAATGATGTTAAACACAACTCACAGACATATCGCGTATTTTGGGGAACGAAAACATATTTTACGACCGCTTGTGCTAATTTATTTCTCCCTCCCGTGAGTGTAAGTGCACTCATAACATTGCTCAAATGATGTTAAACACAACTCACGGACATATCGCGTATTGTGGGAAGGAAAACATATTTTCACGACCGCCAGCTAACTTATTTCTCCCTCCCGTGAGTGTAAGTGCACTCATAACATTTCAAATGATGTTAAACACAACTCACGGACATATCGCGTATTGTGGGGAACGAAAACATATTTTACGACCGCTTGTGCTAATTTATTTCTCCCTCCCGTGAGTGTAAGTGCACTCATAACATTGCTCAAATGATGTTAAACACAACTCACGGACATATCGCGTATTGTGGGAACGAAAACATATTTTTACGACCGCGTGTGCTAATTTATTTCTCCTCTCCCGTGAGTGTTAGTGCACTCATAACATTTCTCAAATGATGTTAAACACAACTCACGGACATATCGCGTATTGTGGGGAACGAAAACATATTTTACGACCGCTTGTGCTAGTTTATTTCTCCCTCCCGTGAGTGTAAGTGCACTCATAACATTTCTCAAACGATGTTAAACACAACTCACGGACATATCGCGTATTGTGGGGAAGGAAAACATATTTTACGACCGCTTGTGCTAATTTATTTCTCCCTCCCGTGAGTGTAAGTGCAACTCATAACATTTCTCAAACGATGTTAAACACAACTCACGGACATATCGCGTATTGTGGGGAACGAAAACATATTTTACGACCGCTTGTGCTAGTTTATTTCTCCCTCCCGTGAGTGTAAGTGCACTCATAACATTGCTCAAATGATGTTAAACACAACTCACGGACATATCGCGTATTGTGGGGAACGAAAACATATTTTACGACCGCGTGTGCTAATTTATTTCTCCCTCCCGTGAGTGTTAGTGCACTCATAACATTTCTCAAATGATGTTAAACACAACTCACAGACATATCGCGTATTTTGTGGAACGAAAACATATTTTACGACCGCTTGTGCTAATTTATTTCTCCCGTGAGTATAAGAAACGTTTCCGTTTTCCTTGCCGATGAAGTACGTAGCTCGAGGAGTGAGTGAGTGAGTTTTACGCCGCATTCAGCAATATTCCAGCTATGGCAGCGGCCTGTAAATAATCTAGTTCGGACCAGACAATCCAGTGATCAACAGCATGAGCATCGATCTGCGCAATTGGGATATGTAAACTAAGTCAGCGAGCCTGACCAATTGATCTTACTGAAGATCAGGGTTACTGAAGGCCAATATTCAAACCCGACCTTCCTTCACGGGTCTTAGCATAAGGAAAGTTTACATTAAGTGTGAATGGAAACACTAATGAGGACTATTTCTCTGAGAATGATTTGCTATTTAGAACATGTTGAATTAAACAGTTGTGTTACAAAAATATGCGAGAGCTTTTTTTGTACCAGTGACCCTGAGAATTGTTTTTCAGTAACCCATGCTCGTCGTAAGAGGTGACTAACGGGATCAGGTGGTCACATGTCACCGTATCCCAATTGATTAAGTCGATGCTCTTGCTGTTGATGACTGGATTGTCTGGTCCAGACTAGATTATTTACAGATGTCGCCATAGAGCTGGAATATTGCTGTGTGAGGCAAAAAACAACACACAATCAAAATCCATTTCAGTTGGTCTCCAACTAGTATTCCATTGTTGCAATCTTTCAAAGTTCTACATATATTGTGCATTTTCAAAGAATATCCTTTCAGCACGTAGAATGTTCCAAACGGAAAATATATGCAACGTATAGCCTTTAATAATCCATAGCCTTCAACCACAAAGACAAAATGTTTGTACAGGAATGTGGCTCCACATCGATGGCTCGTTCACACCGAATTTCAACAGCTCTGGCTATGTGACTGGCATTGACTGTGACCTCATCTGTGACCCTCACCGATTTCCTGAACGAGGCTCTGGAAGAAACGTTTATTCTCGTCAACTTGGTGTTATGGAACTGCGCCGTTAAACCTGGTAATTCGTAACAGCACTGATCCAAATATCGAACATATCTTTTCTGTGCAGTTTGTATTATTATTTTTATGTTTGCTTGGTTTTACAGAGGTCACAGCCCTTGTATATTTTAATGATCTTTCTCAGCAGAAACATTTTGTCACCGAATAATTTATTTTGTGTAGATATCGGCCCTGCCTCCACGATGCTGTTTGATGGAACGCATCCATTATCCCTCCCGCGTCTCTAAAAAATAGGTCATGGTGGGTAGCCTAGTGGTTAAAGCATCCTGCTCGTCACGCCGGAAGACCCGGGTTCGATTCACCGCTTGGGTACAATGTGTGAGGCCCATTTTGGTGTCCCCCGCCGCGATATATTGCTAGAATATTGCTAAAATCGTCATAAAATCATACGCAACCTAGAAAACGAGAAAGAAAAATTTAGTTTAAGGTTCTCAAGATAATAGTCAGTCGGAAAATGCAGTTTTGACATCAACTTTAACAAAAAACACATTTCACTGGTCTGCTATCTACCATGTATTTAAACTGTTACTGACAGGCTAAGGATATGCGAATGTAATGAACATGCAATCAACCAGTTTTCGTTCACTGATCGTAAACTGCTAAGCAAAACGAAAGTAAAAACTTGAAAATGAATTTTGACCAAAATATTACGAAACGTTTTCCAAAGTACTGAAAACAGTCTTCGAAACACTACAAAGATAAATACAAACGGATTAGGCCTATTCGTATCAACTGCTTTACCATCAAGGGAACATTTTAATGGTTGTTTTTCTTTAGCCAAACATTGGTGAATACCTATTTACTATGTGAATACCAGGTGTTGCCGTTGTACAAAACAACCTTAGCACTAAGACTACCTTAAGTCTATGTTAAAGTATGGGAGTTACGGCCACCTTAGAGCTAAGATCGCTTTTGTACAACGGCATCCAGTTTACTATGTTTGGCTTACCTTTGTACTCTGGAATCAGGGGACAGACTGGGCGGCCTTCTGTATGACGACTCGAAGCTGCAGTCCTTACATAGATTACGGGCTGAAGCCGCTTGTGAAGGCCCTGAAGAACATATTCGCACTGGGGATATGGGAGATCATCAACGAACCGGAAGGATGCGTGGACGTCGGTGAGAGCACCTTCCCATTCAGTAGAAGTCAGTGATATTACAGCTACACTACGGTGACCTGTAAACATATTCCAAACTGAGACACAGTATACTGCAACCGAACAAGAAATTGTTTTATCGCCCAAATGTTGAACGCCAGGCAAGGAAACATCAAGTACCACATTTTGGTATGATTATCCACTGCTCAATTTTCCCTCAAAGCAAGCATTTATCTGTGAAAGGAGAAGCGAAACTTGTTTATAAAACAGTTATTTATATGGGTAATAGGAGAGAATTTTTATTTTAAGCGATAGCTATGAAGGTTAAGCGAAATACCAGCTTTTAGGGCCTCGAAATTACTGGAGAATGATATAGAGTCGTCAATGAACAGTTAAACCAAAGTATTTTTGTGAGATATTGACACCGACTATGCTCAAAAGGAGACTGACCAATCAGAGAGCAGTACTACTTATCCTATACGAGCCGTATACCGTCAGTAAGAGTCTAAGATGGTTGTTGATGACGTGACCCGTGAAGATCCGGGTTAGAATGGATCTTCAGTAACCCATGCCTGTCTCCCCGTGCAGATCCGGGTTAGAATTTATCTTCAGTAGCCCATGCTTGTCGAAAGAGGCGCCTAACGGGATCGGAAGGTCAGGCTCGCTGGCTTGGTGGACACATGTCATTGTATCCCAATTGCGTAGATCAATGCTCATGTTGTTGATGATCTGGATTGGTGGGTCCTGACTCGATTATTTACAGACCGCCGCCATACAGCTTTGAATATTGCTGAGTGCAGCGCAAAACCAGACTCACTCACCTCAATTTCTTAATTAATGCCGCAAAATGAGACCATGCGAACACCGATTGTGCCAGTAACAGCCATCTTAAATTTTCCAACTCCCTTTTCACATGGTACAAACATTCGTTATTCGACATTGTTCTTTAATCATTAACTGTGATGTTCAAGGACAATAATATTTCAAAAATCTAGTTCCCGGCTCCAATGATGAAAATTATAGTGAAAACTTACAAGGTTTGAAGAGTAATCTCCCTTTGACCCGTGCCTTATCGAGGCAAACCGCTGTACTGGTCAACTTTGGACGTGACATTAGCGATAAGATGCCAGGTGGTATAAAGTCAATAAATTAGCGCCGAATATAACACATATTAACACTGAAGGGGTCGTTGTCGGCACGGGTACTACACATGTGTACCCCAGGTACGTTTCTGTTTACAGAAATGTACCCTAGCCAAAATCAGAATACAGAAACGTACCTTTGGACGATTCCATTCTGCATTGTGGAGTTTTCTTGATGGGAACGGTCATACTGTTGTATTAGATGCATTTGATATCGTTATATAAGCGCATACACAGTAACGAATATGTCACGGTGCACAACGTACATTACTCACAATCAGCTGAAAGGGGACAACTACATACGGTTTCGGTTTTAGGTTGCGGAATATGGACTCGTAGGTCGTTTAGGGTACCGGGTACGTTTCTGTAGTTTGTCCTCGTTCAGGGTACATGTCTGTATACAGAAACGTACCTGGAGTACATATCTGTAGTACCTGTACCTACAATGACTCCTTCAGCCATATTAACCATACGAGGTTAGGACAGAGTAGCTTCTATATCATCCCCATTGCCACCATGGTCTGAAGTTAGGTCTGGCGATCAGAAAAAGAAAAAAAAAAGAAGAAAATATCAACATAATCAAAGAAGATCATAATCTGCATCCTAGTTGCCCCTTAATTTGCATGTTTAGGGGTGACTTTGGGGAATCTGCATCTGGAAAGGATCTGACTTACAAAAAAGGAACAGAACAACAAAGAAAATCAGCAGAGGACATCAACTAGATTGTATCAGATATTACCATGTCACAAATTTAATAAGTATCAATAAAACAAAGATGAATGTTAATATCGAGCCCTTAGCGTCCTTTTGAATGTTAACTTGTCCATTGGCGTTTGCTCGTCACGCCGAAAACCCGGGTTCGATTTCCCACATGGGCACAATGTGTTAAGTCCATTTCTGGTGTCCCCCGCTGTGATATTGCTGGAATATTGCTAAAAGGGGCGTAAAACTAAACTCACTCACTCACTCACTTGTCCATTACTTACAACCTTCAATCTAGCACTGACACAGGAAGGATGCAATTGAATGAGCAGTCGGTAGGTTCAGATTTTGAATCGGCGGAAACATAAAAGTGGCTTTATATAATTTCGGACCGGGGCCAAATTGCAGACAGACGATTTCCCTTAGCCGAAATACTGGGCTTGACTGACCCAGTCTTGTGACACCCAAAATGCAATTGTAAACCTGATATGACACCTAACTAAGACACCCTAACTAACATTATACTTCCCCTGTTCATGCAGGCCACGCTTCCAGTGAGACGTGCTATGACACCACGTCTCTCAACATCCTGGACTTCGCTGATTGGACGCACGCTAGCGTTCCATTGAAGAGACTCCTGGCTTTCATTGGACGCCAGGTGGCGGCCATTCATGCCGAAGACAATGAGGTTAGGTGAGGTGAGGTGAGGCGAGGTGAGGTGAGGTGAGGTGAGGTGAGGTGAGGTGAGGTGAGGTGAGGTGAATCCGATAGGGAGTGAGTCATGTGGAAAGACAAGACTTTCTACATGAGTAGACATTTCTTAGCATTTTGCTGACAAAACAAAAGTCACAATCGAGGACTGGTATTCGATTACCACAACGATTCTGACGCAGGATTGGTAGATTAATCGACTGATTACTGTTTGTGATCGGACCACTGGCAACAATTGATCATCGATACATCAATTTCCGTATTATCTATACGTCAGGCTACGATCACGTGACGTATTGCCCGTACAGTAGACTATGGAAGATCTCATAATGCATTATCCAAATTTGAGAAAACTGTCGAATCTGTTAATGCACTAGATATATTGCAGACACCAGTGGTTCTCATAATGCATTATCCAAATTTGGGGAAATGGGCGATCTTTTAATGCATATTTTATATTGCAAAACTCTCGGGTAACTCATAATGCATTAGTTAGGAGATAAACATGCAGTGTTGGAAAATCAGAGGCACATAACGATATTCTAATGGCTCTAAATTTGATTAAATTGAGCTATGTAACATGATTATATACCTCTGAATGACTTTAATTAACCAATCACAATCCAGTATTTATTACTGAAGAATTTACTGACTGTTAGAATCGGTTTTATGGTACAATGAAGATCTTTATAGAGCGCCAAGGCTGCAAGTGCCATTTAAAAACACTCGCGGAATTAACTTTCTGTGTTTCCTTTTCTCCAGACTCTCGTCACAGTGGGGTCGTGGACATACAAGTCGGTCACTAATCAGTTCCAGAGACGCAATTTCTACTCTGACCACTGTTTGCGGCTAGCCAGCGGTCAAAACAACAGCGGCCTTGACCTTTACGAGATACACACCTATTCTACGTTCGGCGTTTATTTGCCAGCAGATCCCTTTAAGGTGAGTTGGGACCACGCGTCACGCATGTGGAATTAAACCATGTATATTGCATGCAATGACTTATGACAAACGTAACTTATATCAATGTACGTGACCTACGACGACATCTCTGCGCATGCAGGTCTGCTTCGTTGAACCCTCCGCGAAATACCCATGAACATCCGGGTTAGAATTGATCATCAGCAACCCCTGCTTGTCGTAAGAGGCGACTAAGGGGATTAGGTGGTCAGGCACGCTGGCTTGATTGACATATCTTATTGTATCCCATTGTAAACACGCTCATGATGTTGATCACTGGATTGTCTGGTCCAGACTCGATTTGTTTTCAGACCGCCGCCATACTGCTGGAATAAACAAGAAACACACAAACTCAGCAATCTTTGGTTCTTGAGCCAATCATTTTCAGCTCACTTAAACATATCTCTTTACTCTGAAAGAAAACCAACACAGAACACAGATATATCTTTCACTGTACTCCCTTTTTGAAGAAGACTTCAACGCGCTCAGAAAGGACATTATTTTTAGAGTAACCACAATAATGTAATGGCAGACCGTGGAGATATGGAGTGAGTGAGTTTAGTTTTACGCCGCACTCAGCAATATTCCAGTTATATGGCGGTGGTCTGTAAATAATCGGATCTGGACCAGACAATCCAGGGATCAACAGCATGAAGTGAGTGAGTGAGTGAGTGAGTTAATATTTAAAGTCACTTGGGCATATCGTGACTAAAACAGTAGATACTTTATAATTTTATTTTTTAAAATCTGTCACCAAAAGAGAGTAAAACAACTAATATATCAGTCAGAGATTTAAAACTTGTGTCCTGTAACTTAAAAATATATACTACTTGGGACATTGCAAATTCTGCCATGACTTACGTAAATACTAGATTGTGATTGGTTAATTTAAAGTCATTCAGAGGTATATAACCACGATATATGCCTCTGACTTTCCAACACAGTATGTATCTTGTAAAAATCTTCATAACGCGGTTATGGTAGAATGGAGATAAACATGCTGTGCTGGAAAATCAGAGGTATATAACGAAGTTATAATAGCTCTAATTTTTTTAATTTATTTATAATATGTTATTATAATTTCGTTACGCGTTCGGTTTTAAATCAAATCTAAAGCTATTATAATTTCGTTATATACCTTTGAATTTCCAACACAGTATGTTTATCTCCCAAATACAAATAGGCTATAGATCGCCACCTGAAGGTAGATCATCATACCAGGGACCACGGGGCCCCTAGCTGGATTTACATAATCTCTTCAGCCACTAGTGATTGTAGTGAACTCTAGCCATAATAAAAAACTACAAAAATATTACGTTTTAAAAATCTGGTTCGTTTAAATTTACTTTGAAGGATGGGGATTTACGTACCAGATCCGGGTTAGAAGAGGTGACTAACGGCTCGCTGACTTGGTTGACACATGTCATCGGTTCCCAGTTGCGCAGATCTATGCTCGTGCCGTTGATCACTGGATTGTCTGGTCCAGACTCGATTATTTACAGACCGCCGCCATACAGCTGGAATATTGCTGAGTGCGGCGTAAAACTAAACCCACTCACTCACTGATAGAACTGGACCATGTCATCTTCAAGACTTAGATTACCTGACTGAAGCTTAGGTAAAATATGTCCACTGAAAGCTGTTGACGGTTGACATCATATGTTGTATACCTTTCTGTGGGTTAAACATATGTAAAGTAGAAGCCTATGCAGTACTTCCAACATTGTCCAGAAATTTTAACTTGTACATCGCTGACGAGGGTATCAACAGGTATCTAACCGGAACAGTCAAGTCAGCCCACTTTGACACGTACTTCTGTTGCAATGGAATTACCACATGGGTACAATGTGTGAAGCCCATTTCTGGTGTCCTCCGCTGATCTATTGCTGGAATAATGCTAAAAGGGGCGTAAAACTAAAGTAAATGCTACCTGTATGGGCCCTAGCTGGATTTACCGCTGGCGTTTGTAGGAAAGTTAAGGGGATGATGATGATATTTATGGAGAATCATGTATAATACGAATGAAAAGAACTGTATGCATTACAAACTATATGGCAAAAGAAAGCAATCACCGACTTCACTTGACCAAAAATAGAAACAAACACGTATGTAATATATATGATAATTCTTTTACAAACGGAAACCATTTTCCGATAATTTGACTGAAACATCATTGTTATACTGGTCTTGCATTTGCCGCAATTAATTAATTAAAAGTAAAGGGGTAAAAATAAACAAATACGCAACTTTCTTTTAAATGATAATGCATACAATTCTTAGAAACCAAGGGTGGAGACGAATTTGCTGTGTCCCTGTCATTGGATCCACAACAATATCTTCTCGACTACCAGGTCACCAATCAGAGGACTCTGAAAGGAAAGGATGAGTCACTTGCTCAATATAAGTGTGTGTTAACACAGAATCACAATTAATACCTTATAAGTATTTTTCAAAAAGGCATTCTCCACTATCTTTCCCCATATATTTGTGTTAATGGTAGCCTAAAGTGGGTTGTAGCCTCTTGGAACGAGATACCTCACTGCAAAGAGAAGAAGATTGTGCAATATAATCACTAAAATGACGGTAATAAAAGTGAGTTAAAATGCATAGTCACTTAGCAATATTTCAGCCATATCGTGACTAAAAGGTCATGCTTAAATACGAGGTAATGTTACATTCTATAATCTGTCTGCGAAGGACTGACTGACTGAGTTTTGTTTTACGCCGCTTTTAGCAATATTCCAGCAACATCACGGTGGGGGACACCAGAAATGGGCTTCACACATTGTACCCATGTGGGGATTCGACCCTGGGTCTTCGGCGTGACGAGCCAACGCTTTAACCACAAGGCTACCCCACTGCCCCGTCTGCGAAGGACTGTAAAACAAAATGAATGTCACAGTTAAAGATTTAAGACTAGCATGTGCCTTAAAGTATATACTATCTAGGACATTAAAATGTAAAAACAGGCTATTGATTACCAGCAACTGAAGGTTGATCACCATACGTACAGTGCTTTTGCTACCTACTTGGACCCTATCCGGGGTAACACCATCCTATCAGCCGGTGGTGTTTGTAGTGAGATTTATCTATTATTTCAACCAACAAATATTCTACGATTAAAAGTTTGACTTTGAAAGTTTTGGGAATTGCGTACCCTCTCAGTAGGACAATAACTGTACAACAGTTAAACCCCCTTCAAGGATACAGCCTCTCACTATCTAAATTGCAACTTTGACTCTATCGTAACTGGCGTTTGGATGTTAGTAAACCCTACCACAGTAACCTATTGATTATGGTCGTTCCCCATTGTTCGGGGAGATGGTAGCTCTGGCGCTCCACTCGCTTGGTCCGTTGCAGGATGCTAAGTCAAGGAGTGAGGGTTCGGAGGACCGTAACTCCCAATTAAACACATAACATTCATGTACTGGCACACATACATTCATAGATAAACGCAACACCAAGTTTATACTCACATAGCTTTACTCTGTCTCAGACCATCTCTCTAACTACAACTTCAACATCAGACAGGGCAGGTTCGTACCATATGGGGCAACTGAGGTGCTTGGACTGGCTTCCGTCACTAAAAAGCCCGCACCACCCGCTCAGTACCCAACCTGTCTTTTTATATAGTTCGAGCCTGGCCTGATCTTGATCACATGTTTCAGCTAATCGTTTTGATTCGGTTAGCCTGTATCCAACCTTGCACTCATGAATATTACGATTGGAAAAGTACCGTAAGAATCGTTGGGTCACTCTCCTCTTTGCTGTTTGTTTCAATATAAGATTAATCTGTTATGTCTTTCACAACAAATGTGTTCTGTCTCTCTTTCCATAGCCTGCGGCTAAACGTCATTCTATGGAATCTTTCCGTCTCCATACCGTGCCTAACCGCTATGACTCATGAGCAAAATTTCAAATCTAAATACGAATCTGATGTAATTCTCCCATGGTTTTTGGGATGCAATTTAACCTTGTAACAACTCTACCAGTATTAAAATAATCAACTATCTACACAATGTCAAAATCTATTAATTAATTTAATTTATTTTAAAAATGCAAGCATTTTAAAAATGGGGAGCAATATGATTAAAAAGATCCTTTGTAGATCAAACATTGAAATAATTATTCTTGGTGATGGGAAATCAATCCAGTCAAGAAGGACTTCACTGCTTCACTGTGATTCTTTCATCACAAAATGGAGGATCCTCACATCTGAACAAATATTCGTGGGTATATCTCGAGTGGCCAATGTGACATCGTCGCATAATGACCTCTTCAAATCTGGACTGACAACCTGAATGAACTGAACTTTATTTACACTCTGGCCGCGTTCTGCGGCATTAGAGGTACAAGTTTACATCATAATGTACCATATAAATACAGGCTTGAAACATAAAGTGGTCATATTAACATATTGCTTGGTTGCAATAATAAACTGTCTGTATAAACATTTAACCAGTTAAATAAACAATGTTACACTAATCCGTTATGGATTATTTTGTGGGGGCGTTGCTTGAAGTGAGACATTATTACTTTGCAAAATATTGCTAATTTCCTAAATGTTCCTAGTTTGTTAGAGTGAAAAAGCTGATTCATTTTGTGTATATTCGGATTTCTACAGAAATAGGGAGGGAGGGAGAGAGAGAGAGAGAGAGAGAGAGAGAGAGAGAGAGAGAGAGAGAGAGAGAGAGAGAGAGAGAGAGAGAGAGAGAGAGAGAGAGAGAGAGAGAGAGAGAGAGAGAGAGAGAGAGAGAGAGAGAGAGAGAGAGAGAGAGAGAGAGAGGGAGGAGGGAGGGAGAGAGAGAGAGAGAGAGAGAGAGAGAGAGAGAGAGAGAGAGAGAGAGAGAGAGAGAGAAAGAGAGAGAGAGAGAGAGAGAGAGAGAGAGAGAGAGAGAGAGAGAGAGAGAGGGTTGTTATAAACAAGCATGGTTACTGAGGTGTCAGAATTGGCCATGTTCAGTGTTATGAGTTTGTTTACATCAG